CAGGCAAACTTGTCAGGTTTGCTCGGCTACGCTTGCCTCTCTCACCTCTCTTACTCTGTCTTCCCACCCCTGATTACTGATCACGCACACCTGTTTCTCACTCCCTTCTCACCAGCTGCACTTGATTAGACCATTGGCTATTTAGACTCAGTTCACCTGTCTTTCCCTTGCTGGTTCGTTCTAGTCGCTAGGTTTCATGTCGTTGTACTCTCTTGATGTTTACTTTGTTTTTGATTTTGTTTATACACTACCGTTAGATCCTGTTTCTGCTCTGGATTATTCGTATGCTCTACTCCTCAGACCAGCACCTGTGTTATTGCTGTCCTTGGACTATTTCCTCTGCACCATACTCCATTCTTCCCTTCCAGGCAGGTCGATGCACAGTCACCATCTCTCTGTCTACCATTACCAATGCCTCTCTGTCATTGCAGCAGCCACCTCTCAACCACCGATCAGCCCAGGAGTGACCCCACCACGCAGCTCGGCCCATCTTCTCCATGCCATCCATCTCTATACCTCCTGCTGCTGCTCGACGCCTGGTTGCTCCCCATACATCAGTACCACGGACACTTAGTTTGCCAGATCACCGCACTGTAAATATATTAATAAATCATTGCTTGCACCACAGTCGGTTACCTGGGTCCACCTCTTTCTTTTGCTCCCTCACCTCCGTGTGTGTGCATAACAAAACTGCTGTGGCTTTTTTAACTCTCTTGCAGCGAAGGACATTCTGTCATATTCTACAGAGGAATCATTTAGTCTGTTCTCTGCACCTCCATCACTGTCTGGTTTGGCTCAGCAACCAAACAGGACAAGTACAGACTTCAGCAGACGGTCAGGACTGCTGAAAAGGTCATTGGTGCAAGCCTGCCCTCCATGGAGGACCTGTACACCTCACAGGTCAAAAGGAGGGCAGCAAGGATCACTGCAGACCCCTCACACCCTGGACACAATCTGTTTGAACTCCTCCCCTCTGGACGGCGTTACAGGTCACTGTACGCCAAGACAACCAGGCACAGGGACAGTTTCTTCCCCTGGGCTGTCACTCTGAACACCTGACCCACGACAGTATGACTGGACAACAATCATTTGTGCAATACCTGTAAATATACATTATACAGATCTGTACAGGTCTCTGTTTTTAAGAACTCCTATTTTTATTCTTATTTATCTCATTTCAATGAACATTCCTGTCTGCATTGTTTGCTGCCTGTTATACTGCTTATTTTGCATTGTTTTCACTGTTTGTTGCCTGTTAATACAGCTTATTTTGTTATTACACAGCCTTATGTTGGTTTACTTGCCCCTTGCATGGGGATATGTACATACACATTGAGAGCCGATGTACCAGAGTCAAATTCCTCGTGTGTCCGACACACCTTTCTAATAAAACAAATTCTGATATAAACTTGGGATAATTTTGTGAGAGAGTTTTCCTGTTTGGAATTACATACATTGGATTGAGAGCATGAGTAAAGCTTCTGAATACTTTGTCACAGATATTAAATGAAATTAGAAAGGCACTCTTATCCAATCAGTGATTCCCTTAATTTTCTTTTATACAGCCTGAAACTTCTGAGTTATTGATGGGTAAGTTAGAAAAATATGGGATCAGGGGATTGGTTTTGAATTGGATTAGAAGTTACTTGACACAGAGGCGTCAATTTGTGAAGTTGGGTGAATACCAATCGAAATGGTGTGACAGTAATATAGTATCTCTGAATTTGGATAAAACTAAATTTATGGTATTTGGGAATCGTAGACTAGATAATGAACTTCAATTGAAAATTGGGGGAGCTAATATAGAACGAGTATATGAAATTAAATTTCTAGGTGTCATAGTTGATGACAAATTCTCCTGGAAATCTCATATCAGATATGTTCGGCACAAAATAGCAAAGAATATATCGATATTGGCAAGGGTTAGATATATTTTGGACAGGAAAGCACTACGCATTTTGTATTCTTCATTGATTTTACCATACTTAGAGTATGGCGTTGAAAACTGGGGAAATACATACAAAAGCTCACTTCAACCATTGTATATATTACAAAAAAGAGCGATAAGAATTGTGCATAAGATGGGGTATAGGGATCACACCAATGTAGCTTTCATACAGTCTAAATTGCTAAAGTTTTTTGATTTAGTGGGATATAAGACTGCAGTGTTTATGTATAAAACCAGGAACAATTTATTACCTGGTGGAATTCAAAAACTATTTAATGAAAGGGAAGGGGGAAACAATTTGAGGGGTCAGTTAAATTTAAAAATTCATGCTATACGTACAACCAAAAAAAGATTTTGTATTTCCATAAGTGGGGTAAAACTATGGAATAATTTAAGTGTAGACATAAAAAATAGTTAAAGAATTGATGAGTTTAAACATAAATATAAAGGTATGTGTCAATCAAGATATATGCAAGAACAGGCTCAATGATTAATTACATGGACTATTGTGGGCGTGGTGTACATTTTGTAATAATTCTTTAGTATATTACTTGTGTGATGTATTAATGTTAACACTGTTATAATCGTTTTTAGTATAATATGTGTGTGGGTAGAAGTGAATCATTTACTGCTTGCAAACTAATGATGGTAAGATGATGTCATGGGGTAGGACTGAATAAGTCTGACTTCTTCCTACTCCATTCAAGCATGTACTAGGTATAAGCAAATTGATATTGGATTATGTGTAAAATTATGTGTGTTGTCATATCAACAGTTTTACATGCTTGAAAGAATAAATCAAATCAAATCAAATCAAAACAACTCTCCAAACACAAAGACTCTGCATAGAAATCCACCTACTGGAGTAGTGTTCATATGTTTTACAGTGGTTATTTGCTATATCAATGTAAAATCCAGATAAGATTTTTTAATAAAACAATCATATTTTATGACTTTGGTTTACAACCATAGTTTATTTCAGAGTTTGGCATCTGGGTATTTTTCTTCTCAGGATGAAGACGTCAACAGTGTGAATAATGCATGCAGTACAGAGTGCAGAAGATGTACAGACCTGAATATGACAGCATCCCAGGTGGACAGTTAGGAGGTGCGCTCTTCCTGTCCCTAAGAAATGAGACGCAGCAGGTGGAGCTGTGTGTTTCTGCTGCCAGGTAGACAGCTGCCACTTAAAAGAGCACAGCTACTGTATATTTCTGTCTTGGCTGCAATCTAATGATACCTGTACTTCACAGTAATTTGATTTTGACCCCATTGATCACAGTATCTTATTACAGAGACTTGAACATGATATTGGGATTAAAGGAGCTGCACTACGTTGGTTGAAATCTTATTTATTAGAAAGATTCCAGTTTGTTCATGTTAATGATGACACTTCCACGCAGACTGAAGTTAGTTATGTCGTTCCACAGGGTTTTGCGCTAGGTCCAATTCTCCACACTTTATACATGATCCCTTTAGGCAGTATTATCAGGAAGCATAGCATAAATTTCAATTGCTATGCAGATGGCACTCAGTTATATTTATTTATGAACCCAGATGTATCAGATCAGCTGGTCAAACATCAAGAAAGTCTTAAAGACATAAAGGCCTGGATGACCTGTAATTTCTTACTTCTAAATTCTGACAAAACTGAAGTTATTGTACTTGGGCCTGAAAACCTTAGAAATCTGCTGTCTAATCATATAGTTACTTTAGATGACATAGCTCTTGCCTCCAGTACTACTGTGAGGAATCTTGGAGTCATCTTTGATCAGAATATGTCCTTTAAATCACTCATAAATCAAGTCTCTAGATCTGCCTTCTTTCACCTGCGCAATATTGCAAAAATCAGGAGCATCCTGTCTCAAAGTGATGCTGAAAAACTGGTCTATGCATTTGTTACTTCCAGGCTGGACTACTGTAACTCTTTACTATCAGGATGTCCCAATAATTCCCTAAAAAGCCTCCAGGTAATCCAAAATTCTGCAGCCAGAGTACCGACAGGAACTAGCAAGAGGGATCATATCTCTCCCATATTAGCTTCTCTCCAGTGGGTCCCTGTAAAATCCAGAATAGATTTTAAAATCCTTCTCCTAATATACAAAGCCCTTAATGACAAGGCTCCATCATATCTTAAAGACCTTATAGTGCCTTATCATCCCAACAGAGCACTTCACTCTCAGAGTACAGGTCTACTTGTGGTTCCTAGAGTCCACAGAAGGAGAATGGGAGGCAGAGCCTTTAGCTATCAAGCTCCTCTCCTATGGAACCAACTCCCAGTCTCAGTTCGGGAGGCAGACCCCCTCCCTACCTTTAAGATTAGACTTAAGACGTTCCTTTTTGATAAAGCTTATAGTTGGGGCTGGATCAGGTGACCCTGAGCCTTCCCTTAGTTATGCTGCTATAGGCCTAGGCTGGGGGGCACCATGATGCTCTGAGTTTCTCTCCTCTCCTGTCTCTCCGTGCATCTATATGTCACCATTATGCATCACTAACTGTGTGTGTATCTTCTCTCTCCCTGTACCTTTCTGCAGGTAGCCCTGACTCTGGAGCTCTACATTTCTGATGAGCAGGCAATGGTCACATCAGCCTTCCCGGTGGTTGATAGTTTGTTGTTGTTTGTTGTGTCTTTTTGCTTTTCTTTTTTATTCTCCCTCCTCTATCCACTCACTCCAACCAGTCAAGGCAGAAGGCCGCCCGCCCACAGCCGGGATCTGTCAGAGGTTTCTTCTGTTGAAAGGGGTTTTTCCTCCCCGCTCTCACCAAGTGCTTGCTCAAGGGGGATTTGTTGGGTTTTCCTCGATAGTAATAGTGATAATAGTAAGGTCTAGACCTTACTTTGTAAAGTGTCCAGAGGTTACTTTTGTTGTGATTTGGCACTATAAAAATAAATTTGAATTGATTTTTTTTGAAAGTGTCGTGTATAGAGAATAAATCAAAATAAGAGATTTATAGTGTAGGCAACCAGAATGTCTTTTAGCATCTCGTTGTTGCTGCTAAAATGGACATTATCATAGTGTGATATTTTGATATGATCTACCGGAAGTGTATTGTTTCAGTACGTGACTTGACGCTGTTACAAACCAGAAGCAGTGGTATAAGTAAAGGTTGATAGATGCAGTTTGCTGTTTCTCCGACTATTTCTGTGTGTTTTTGGAGTAAACGTCCAAGCTTTGTTTAGTTTCAGAGTTGACAGCAGGTGAGTTAAAACCTTTCAGCTTGTTTAACATTAGATGTGACGCAGTTTGGCCCAGATAAAGCCACATCCGTGTTGTGTAAGTTAGCGATACTTAACTTTTCAGCGTTTACCAGAGTCATGCGCTGTTTAGGCCCTCCTGTGACAAGTGAACATAAATGTTGCTAAAATGAATATATCCCTAACTTTTTAAATTGATAGACGACGAGTTTCCCCATCCGTATTCAATATGGTAGCCTATTTCTAAAGTGAGTTAGGATTCAACCGTGATATCCCCTATATGACTAAAAAGTATTGTGGTGTTGTATGTAATTGTTTTATAAGTTACGCTGTGCGTGAGTAATCAGCCGTGTGTATGTTCCCTACTGTCCTAATGATACTGAATTATCATGTGATGTGCTGATGAAATCGTACCGCGGTGTAGACAGTTAGGCGTTGGATAGTCAGGCTTTCAGCGAGGCTAAACCTCAATAACTTGTACAAGACTTGATCGATCTTTACCAGAAGAAACATTCCCAAATGTTACACAAGTGGTATTTAAAATCCATGACCCAGTGTAGGCGTAGCTGCTTTGTAAACCCTGGGCGAATGACGGACCACAGGGGAAATGATTAGTCGTGGTTTGGGACCGTCTTTAAACAGCTTGCAGTGTAGCTAAGACGCTGTGGTTTTTCTTTTCTCTCAAACCTTCCACATTTTGTTCTTTGTATATTTTAAACAAACATCTTGTCCATCTTAAATGCCAAAATTCCATGCACAACCATTTTAAATCTTTTATTCATGCAATATGAATATATAAGGTATTACACCTTATTTTCTTCCAATAGCCTCCTCATACTGTCAGACATTTCAAACTAGTAATCAGCTGTTAGAAAAAAATGTTATGCAGTATGGCCAGAAGAGCTATTACAGTTTGTTTTTACCCAATAGATGTCTAATAGCTGTTGAATAGATTCCCTAGGATTAGTTAAGCACAGGTGAAAATGTAAAAAGCGGTACACCCTGGACAGGTTGCTTGTCTATCACAGGGCTAACATTTAATGACGACAACCACACACACCCACATTCATACCTATGGACAATTTAGAATTGCTGGACTGTGGGAGGAAGCCGGAGTACCTGGAGCAAACCCACTCAGGCACAGGGAGAACATGCAAAATTCGCACAGAAAGGCCCACTGGTTCAGTCAAGGCTTGAAACCCAGAACCTTCTGGCTGTGAGGTGACAGCACCACCCACCCCCATTATTTAGTTCACGTTTTTAAAAATTCTGTCATAAAAGTAATTGCATAAAAATTATGTTTGGAGTAAGTCTGCTATTCCCAGAATGCACAATAATAACCTCTGAAGCAGATAAACATAAGAGTTTGTGTAATAGTGTCCGCAAAGATTACTAATAAGTCTGATATCCAAAATAGAAAATCTGACACATCTTCTCATTTTATTTCAGCATTCAAAGTAACCTTAGGATCAACATTCTCCGTTTCTTCTTTTATTTGATTCCTCTCAGCATCATGGCATCTGGAGGCCCTGTGATGAACGGCAATGTCTCTCGCTCTCCAGGACAGTCTGCCACGCTTGAGGAAACCCTGCAGCAAATGAACATCCTCATCCAGGAAAACCGAGACCTGAAAGGTGAGAGCAGATGTGCGGTAAGAGTGGGTTCAAAGAAAGTCTGTAGGGGAAGAGTGAGAATAAAGTTGGCCATTTACGATTTTAGAACTTGCTCCCAGTCTTCCTTGGCACACCTACTAGGGCTGGCCACACTGTTGTAGTAAATTTATACTACAATTTATGGATTTTAAATGTAATACTTCATAATAAGGGCACCAGGCAGTTGGCACGAGTCATGTGAGCACTGAATTTATTTGGGTGAATTATTATTTATTAATCTGAATTGTTTATCCAGTCTCGATTTGAAAGCAATAAATCCTGTTCAGTGACTTATTTACTGAGAATAAAAGAGACAAAAGCTGAAACCAGAAAGCCAGCTGCAAGCTAAATACTATATGTACAAGCTATTTACATATGTACCAAGAAAAGAAGAGGGGATTGGGATGCAAGAAATTTTACAGTTGTACCAAAAAGATGATTAAAACAGATGGATGAATGAACAAATCAGCTAAGAAATTGAGATGGTGGAGAACACAGTTAAATTGGCTTAAATCACATTAAATTCTGGATCTAAATCTTATGATTTTAACTCACAGTTCGGAAAGAAACTATGTTTCTGGAAGTTATGGCTTTTGTAGGAGTGACTATGGTTTATGAAACATCAGCCTAGCCATAAAACCATATATCTGTTAGCCATTAGCAGAATTCTGAGGCTCCATGCGGTCAGGGAGAGAAACGCTGCTTTTGAGACCCATTCTGGTTCAGAGTGGAGTTGTGGTAGTTTGAAGTTCCGGGACTTCTCTGCAAGCTTGGAATATGTCTGTTGTTGTCGAACGGATGGTCTCCTTCTTTTGTGGTGAGCTTTCTCCTCTTCTTTGGCAATGCCATTAGTTCAGGAGCTGGGGGGCCGGAGGTCCTGTCTTTGTGCGTGGTATTTAAGAGGTGTCTCAAAGGAAGCTGATTTGAATTTGATCTGATCACCATGGGATTATTCTGAAAACATCTCCGCAAGTTAACAACCAATTTGGCTGGAGTAAAACTTTGTTTCTTTGACTACAAAACTTCTTGCCTTCGAATTTTGGCTGGAGGTTTTAAAATTGGCATATTGAAAACTTATGATTGGCTTGATTGCTTGCTTATGATGGAAAGAGTCAAAAAGTTAAAATAACATCAACAACTAGGGAAAATACTTCTTGTGATAATGCAAGCATAAGATTTTAACAAAAATTAATTTAATACATATATGAAAGATGAGGAAGAGAGATGGGGATGACCAAACACTTTTGAAAGATGACTTTTTACTGAACAAGAGGAAGCAGGCTGTCCTAGTTTAATTTGTTGTTTTGAGCAGAGAGCTTCATATATTTGGCTGAGTGAAGGAATTCATAGCAACCATCAGCTTCTTGGTTGACTCGTGAAGCTGCACTGTGGATAAATCCACTTCTAATCTGTGGGTGTGACTTACCCATTTTATGCGGTTCAGATCTTGTGCTGTCCACCGGGGGTGTATTGAGCTTTTTAAAAGTGTGAGGGTTGAGGTTTGTCTGGGGTGGGGGTATCTGAGCAAGACTGAAGCTGAACACAACTAAATGTGTTTTACGCACCTCTCTTATTTATGACATATAGAGTTTACATACCTATAAATAGGGTTTATAGGATATTCAGTATTCTGCTTGCTATCATTATCAGCACAATGCAGTTGTAGCTTAGTGTTTCTGAATTACACTGCATTATCTACATTTTATGCCCAACCCTGATCAACACTGTAAGACCCATTTATGCCATTAACTCAAATTGTTACAATTTACCCACCTCTCTTTTTCAGCACACCCCCGATTCTTAGGTTGAAGAAATAAATTCTCTGTATTAAGTTATTCTGAGGAAAAATAAGGTCAGCTACAAATTGAAACTCTTGTGTAATGTGATTTTAAATATTTTTATTTAAACAATAAACTGATGAAGTTTAATGCTTAAAGCATTGTTTACAGTTGGTTACAATTGCACAAAAAATGTTGGATATTGCCAACATGGCATGAAAACCAACTGGCCTGAACATTTAACACTGGATATATGAACATTTGAACCTTCACTCAGTTCAATTAAAAGAACCAAAAGTGCAATTTCTGTTTTCCTTACAAGAGACAAACTGATTAGCAATCATTTTTCTGTTCACCCTATCCAGCTTGTCTTTCTGTACATGGCACATAGCAACACTGTTGAGGTGGGTTTGGGTCACGGTGCTGTGTAGCCATGTTTTCAGCCTCCAGAGGCTGCTGAAACTCTTTTCTGACTCTGCTAATGACATAGGCACAAATAGGAGGAGACAAGCAACTGTTTCAACTTGGTTTTCTGCATCTTAATGCTGCGTGGCAAAAAAGACAGTGGTAAAGGTAGCTAGGTCAGTCAGGACTGTGAGACTGCTTAAAAAATAGCCTACTTGCGCTAGCATCATACAGCTCCCTATCTAACTTTAACAATGTAATACTAGCTGCTGAGGTAGTGAACAGGGTACATGATGGATATTAAGTATTTATCAGCAGATATTCCATTGTGACAGCGAGTTTGGCTTCACTACTGTGATGCAGTGTTCTTCACATTTACTGCCTCACCTTCTGACTGCTCCATAAGGTTTGCTTCTCTACACCATCTCCTTAGCTGTCTCCAGTCATCCTGAATGCTAGCATAGTGATTTGTTTGCCACTTCACCCGCTAACTGGTGGATTTGCTGTGATTGTAAGATCTGTCACTCAGACTAACTTGACCTTTGTGTTTGTGTGTGTGTTGCCTGCTGTGTGTGTGTGGGGTGTTGTTCATACTCTTTCGCTGATGTCATTTTGTATACATTGGCTATTTAGTTTTGTTGCGTCTCACCAAAAAGTGTGGGGGATGAAATGTGTTTTTAGAAAAAGTGTGGGTGTTGCATCCACGTTGCTGGAGGCGACGGTGGTGCGGTGGGTAAAGCAGCCGTCTCCCAACCGGAAGGTTGAGGGTTCAAATCTTGGTGCCTGCAGTTCACATGTCGACCAGCATGCTTAAAGATGTCTTGGGCAAGACACTGATGTTGCCAGTCCTTTTCACAACATTTGCATGTAGCGACTGGGGATACCAAGTGATTAAGTGTGTCAGGTGTAATTTTGTCCCATTCTTCCTGCAAACAAGTTTCATTACAGTATTGGGTCTTTGTTGATGCAATTAGTTTCTAAATGTGCCACACATTCTCCATTGGGGACAGGTCAGGACTGCAGGTAGGCTAGACCAGCACTTGCACCCTTTTCCTCCACAATCATGCCATGGTAATGTGTGCAGTATGAGGTTTTGCATTGTCTTGTTGAAATATGCATAAGCATCCCTGAAAAAGATGTCATCAGCATATGTGGCTCCAGAATCTCTGTATTTTTCAGCATTAATGGTGCTGTCACAGAAGCATAAGTTACCTTTGTCATGGGCACTGACACAACCCCAGACCATGACAGACTCTGGCTTTTGGACTTGGTAACAGTCTGGATGGTCCTTTTCATCTTTGGTCCACAGCACACGGTGTCTGTTCCTTCCAAAAAAGATGGGAAACACTGATTCATCTGACCACAGTACATGTTGCCATGGTGTGATAGTCCAGCCCAGATGCCTCTGAGCCCAGAGCAGTCGACTGTGTCTGGACACTGTTGACAGAGGGCTTTCTTTTGGCACAGTACAGTTTTAAGTGGCATTTATGGATGTAGCTACATATACCTGGATGGTCCTTTTCATCTTTGGTCCACAGCACACGGTGTCTGTTCCTTCCAAAAAAGATGGGAAACACTGATTCATCTGACCACAGTACATGTTGCCATGGTGTGATAGTCCAGCCCAGATGCCTCTGAGCCCAGAGCAGTCGACTGTGTCTGGACACTGTTGACAGAGGGCTTTCTTTTGGCACAGTACAGTTTTAAGTGGCATTTATGGATGTAGCTACATATACTATAGTGCTTGACACAGGTGTGCCAAAGTAATCCTGAGCCCATGTGGTTATATTGCTTATAAAAGAGTAACTATTCTTGATGCAGTACTATCAGAGGGATTGGACAGCACAGTCATCCAGCTTAGGCTTGTGTCCTTGCCCTTTATGCACTGAAATCCCTCTAGAGTCCTTGAATCTTTTACTTACGTTTTGCTCTGTAGAGGGTGACCTAGGTATTCAGAGGGACAGGTCTTATGTAATGACTGAGTTAGTATAAAGTCAGATTTATACTAAACTGTTCCAGAGCATCTCTAAACTTTCTTTGGACATTTCACACAACTCCTAACTGCCATAATTTTACATTCTCAAATCTATGAACATTTTCGTTGTCATTAAAAAGAAAGGGAGGACACAATACTGAGGTTTTTATTGCTATGCTAAAAGGGGAGAGGAGAGTCTTTCTGCATTTCCAAGTGTTCTGGTGTACAGTTAAGGTTAGATAAAGGAAGTAGTCTGAGTTCTCCTGGGATAAATCAGATAATCAGATCTTTGGAGACCGAGTCCAGGCATTATAAGTGATGTTATCTCACAAGTGAAAGGGGGAAGATTGTCTCTTGTAGCCATAGAGAAGAGGCTAGGTCTCTGATGTCCACATCTGGTTTATTTGCAGAGGATGGGGAGAAAAAGGTGTGAGAGGGCATTACACATAAAACTGTCTTTGAGACACAAACCAGAGCTTGGTCCTGTATAAAGGTGAGAAGGGGGTAGTGACACAAAGTTCCTAGCCAAGAGAAACCAAAGCAGGCCTGGCCTATGTGCTGGGGAAAGGATAAAGAAGTCCATCTGTTTTCTCTTCACTGCCCGGGAAATCAAAGTTTATCAAATATTTTTCTTGGTTTATCAAGTTAAAAGGAGTCTTTTCCAGATGGGTTCCTGGCCTTATGGACACTAGACTACAGGGTCAAAGGTCAGTGGACGTTGTTCCAGACATCTCATGTGAGGGTGGAGTTTCTGAGCTGTGGGGTGACAGAGCAGCAGAGGAAATGCAATAGACCCAAAAGGCATAAAAGCCATGGAAAGGTCACAAGTCACATGACTTGCTAGTACAATGTGCATTTATTCAAATTATTTGTCTCTGTGCTCCAGAGGCCCTGCATCAGACTAACCTGATGATGAAGGAGCGTTTCGAGGGTCTGTCTGTGTGGCGGGAGAAGCAGCGGGAGGAGCGGGACTTTTTAGAGAGACGGCTGGAGGAAGCTCGGGGCCACATGGAGGCCCTGACCCTCCAAAACCAGGTGCTGAGCAAGAAGCTGGAGGAGGTGGGGATGGCAGGAGGGTGTCATTTCCAGGCAAAATCATCCACTCAGAGTGCAGAGCTAGATGTGCTGCGTGCCCAGGTTGCTCGCCTGCAGGCAGAGAAGAACGACCTGGTGGCCATGAACTCAGAGCTACAGCTAAAGGCAGACCAGGACTCTCGGGACAACTCATTCATAGAGATCATCAAGGTCTCGGTGAGAAGCAACATGCATCCATACATATTAAATGAAATTATAAAGACACTCTTATCCAATCAGTGATTCCATTAGAATTTTCTTTTATACAGCCTGAAAACACCTCACCAAACACAAAGACTCTGCATAGAAATCCACCAACTGGAGTAGTGTTCATATGTTTTACAGTGGTTATTTGCTACAGTGGGTATGGAAAGTATTCCGACCCCCTTACATTTTTCACTCTTTGTTATATTGCAGCCATATGCTAAAATCATTTAAGTTCATTTTTTCCTCATTAATGTACACACAGCACCCCATATTGACAGAAAAACACAGAATTATTGACATTTTTGCAGATTTATTAAAAAAGAAAAACTGAAATATCACAGATGGAAGAGTGACTTCCTGGGTCCTTGTCGAGCTGTGCTGCAGTGTCACACATCAACTGGTCGACCACAAACAAGGTACGCAGGATAAACCTTTGTTATACATAAAGCCTGCACATTGGATTTGTACCAAATTTTGTTGATATATGGACTGCCCACTCTCAACGCATTAAATTGGATTCACAGTAAGGATAATAAAACACATTTGTTTTTGGAATGATGTGCTGATCTGTTCACTGACACGTAACAGTTAACAAGCACATACTCTCACTTTGAGGGATAGAGAATGCGTGTCGTTGATTACAGAATTTGATACAATTAAGCCCAAAAAGTTCTATCTTGGATAGGTCATGGGAGCACATAAATGATCCCTGGAGATCACGGCTCTTGGAAAATATGGGATATTAACTGTGTTCTTTGATGATAATGACACAGATGGAACATCAGGAAATGGGAAAAGTCAAGCAAACATTTTCGATGCCAATTCATTTTAGGGCATTGCTCAGTTGTTGCTGATCATTTCCTCTCATTTCTCTTAAAAAGCAGCTCATGTCTGCCTGGTGCAGTGTTCACACCCCTCGGGAGTCAGCCACGTTAACACAGTTTTAATCTTAAAGCCAGGAGACATTTTCAAGGAAAGAAAAGCGTCATGAACATTATTCAATTAAAATAATTTAAACTTTGCAGTGATTCAATTTTTCCAAAGAAACACTCTTTTAGTAGACTAACGCAACCAATGTAGAGCTGCAGTGAGGAGTCAAATAACTGATTAGTTGGTTGATATAAAAATAATCAAGAAAGTTTTGTTAATTAGCCAACTGGTTTGAGTCCTGTTTTTTTTTTTAATGATCTGTGAATCTTCTTAATCTTTTATGATTATAAATTAAATATCTGTTTTAGATTGATCAGGCCATTTTAAAGGCATTATCTACCAAACTGTGATTCACATTTCTAGTATTTTCTGACAGTTAATAGATGTATAGACAGGTGTGTGGCTTTCCTAATCACGTCCAATCAGTATAATCAAACACCGCTGGACTCAAATGAAGGTGTAGAACCATCTCAGGGATGATCAGATGAAATGGACAGAGCCTAAGTTAAATATATGAGTGTCACAGCGAAGGGTCTGAATACTTATGACCATGTGATATTTCAGTTTTTCTTTTTTAATAAATCTGCAAAAATGTCAAAAATTCTGTGTTTTTCTGTCAATATGGGGTGCTGTGTGTACATTAATGAGGAAAAAAATGAACTTAAATGATTTTAGCATATGGCTGCAATATAACAAAGAGTGAAAAATTTAAGGGGGTCTGAGTACTTTCCGTACCCATTGTATATCAGAATAAAATCCAGATCAGATTTTTAATAAAAATTGTTTTATTCTGTGACTTTGAAATAATCTATGGTTGTAAACCAGGGTTTGACATCTGGGTATTTTTCTTCTCAGGATGTAGACGTCAACGGTGTGAATGATGCATGCAGTACAGAGCGCAGAAGATGTCCAGACCTAAATATGACAGCATCTCGGGTGGACAGCGAGGAGGTGACTGTCAGCCAGCTCCTCCAGTCCCTAAGAAATGAGACGCACCAGGCGGAGCGGCTGCAGACTGAGGTGTGCATTTCTGCTGCCCGGGAGACAGCTGCCACTTAAAAGAGCACAGCTACTGTATATTTCTGTCTTGGCTGCAATCTAATGATACCTGTACTTCACATTAATTTGATTTTGGCAATATCGGGTTTTGACTGCAATTTTTTTGCATAAAAATGTTTTTATGTAAAATCACTTCTTGAAATTTGTCACTTTATCCAAAAGAATTAGAGAGCTGGAAGAAAGGAAGAGTAATGTAAACCAATCTACACAGACAACTGAGCCACAGAGTACAGACACCAAGGAGGATTCTGGGAAGGAGGATAAGGTATTTATTACTCAGTCATAAAAGTAGTATTTGTTGTAATACACAGTAGTGGTAACCAATAGGGGTGTGATGAATACACTCATGAGACAAGATGATACATGCTATGGTTGGTGGTCCCTCACCAGGGGGTGAGAGAGAAAAAGGGGACTCAATGTGCAATCTCAGGTGCTAGTGAGGAAGTGCCTTGATTGCACAACAATAGAAAGAACAAAGTCAATGAGATATACAGGGTCCAAGCCAAGGTAGAATAATGGAGGCTGAGGGGACCAGGACGGGCAGGTGAATAGACAGGAGAATGGCAGCAGTTGAGATGACAGGAGGGACATAGGAAACAGAAGACCGGGCAGGTGTAGCACTTGCCATGGCGCTCGCCGTCAGGTACCCACGGCTGGGAAGATTACCGTCAGATACTCATGGCAGGAAAATGTGCCGGAGATAATCACAGCAGAGGACGGTCACCACACAAGAATATCAACAGCACAGGGAACTGTCAGCGTTGAGACTTCCATAACATGTGGCAATGTATATAACCAACATATAACCAACGTCCAAAAGAAAACCAACAGCACAGGAACTGTCAGTGTTGAAACTCTCTTAACGTATGATACATATACATACACATACAATGCTCTGGTGACGAAGGAGCGTCTGCCAGCGGTTTAAATAAGGAAGGAAGGTTAATCAATGGGGATGAACATCAGCTGTGCACCAAGCCTGGGAGTCAATTAACAGGTGAATGCGTCTCAGCTGTGTCTTTGAGCCCGCGGGATGAGAGAGCAGGGGAGAGAAAGGGGAAGGGAGTCAGGTCGCGCTGAGCAGACCTGACAATACATGATGTTCAGGAGAATGAGACAAGATGACATTTTAACAAGATTTTTAAGAAAAATTCATCACGAAATATATAACTGGAAAATAGTCTTGTATTTGACTGAAAGTCACAAAATGATTTAACTAATCATCTTGTAATGAATGTCACTTCAGTTCTACTTTGAGTATAAATTATCATATGCAGTAAAAGACAATATGCAAACACTGTATGGCATCAAAACATGTATAGATCTCAGCAGCAATGACTTTATGAGCTTCTTTACAAATAAAATCACAACTATTAGAGAAAAAATTAATCAAATAATTTCCATCAACTCTCACAGACGTGCCATCAATTACAATGGCTTTAGAATCATCTATAAGACCTCATTTATACTTAGACTGCTTCTCTCCCATAGATCTCTGAGTTGACCGCAGTAGTTGCTTCATCTAAATCAACATGTCTCTTAGACCCCGTCCCGACCAGCATGCTCAAAGATGTCTTGGCCTTAATCAACACATCCATACTAGATCTGATTAACCTTTCTTTATTAACAGGTTATGTTCCACAGGCTTTTAAGGTTGCTGTAATTAAACCTCTACTCAAAAAGCCTACTCTTGACCCAGGTGTTCTAGCTAATTATAGACCAATGTCCAATCTCCCGTTTATTTCTAAAATCCTTGAAAAAGCTGCTGCAAAACAGTTATGTGACCACTTGCACAAGAATGATTTGTTTGAGCATTTTCAGTCAGATTTTAGAGTCCATCATAGTACAGAAACTGCACTGGTGAAAGTCACCAACGAGCTCCTCCTAGCTGCAGACAAAGGACTTGTCTCCATACTTGTCCTCTTAGATCTCAGTGCTGCTTTTGACACCATTGATCATAGCATTTTATTATAGAGGCTTCAAGATGTCATTGGGATTAAAGAAACCTCACCAAGTCTGTTAAAATCTTATTTATCAGAAAGATTTCAGTTTGTTCATGTTAATCATGGCGTTTTACAGGGCTCTGTGTTAGGTCCAGTTCTCTTCACTTTATACATGCTCCCTTTAGGCAGTATTATCAGGAAGCACAGCATAAATTTCATGGCTATGCAGGTGATACTCCGTTATATTTATCTATGAACCGAAATGAATCAGATCAGCTGGTCAAACATCAAGAAAGTCTTAAAGACAAAGGCCTGGATGACTTGTAATTTCTTACTTCTAAATTCTGACAAAACTGAAGTTATTGTACTTGGGCCTGAAAACCTTAGAAATCT